AGCCATTTTTAATACACGCAATAATTCATGATTGGCTGCTAATCACGTGATTGCAATGACTAATCAAAACATTTAACGTCAGTCGCGTTTCTCTTATAAATTTAGGGTTGCGGTCGATTTGGATGCTTTTAGCGCTTTTTAATACTTCTATTTTCATTTTACGTCTAATGAACGATAAAGATAAAATGATGATTACAAGCGCTTAAAGCGCGTGAGCATCCAAATCGATCGCAGCCTAGGATTCTATTTGCAGTTACAGGTTTTGGACTGCATGTTCTCTCTCAGATTTCTCTCTAATCTCGACTAGATGGCACGACATGTCTCTTTTTAAACTTCAAATTAGTTTTCTAAAATGGCTGCATACTTTTGAGATTTTTTTTATTTCTGTATTATACTGCACTAAAATTTTGTTCTCTTTAACTAAATATCAAATATATATCTACTTGACTTTAAGTTTCAAAAGTATACCAGTATGCTAGTTCATCTATAAAAAACAAACTTTTGATTGTTATGTAGATTATATTACTATTTCAAATTACCCCTACAGCATAAAGTTGCATAAAAGTCGCAGTAACACTGCTGCAACATTGCAGCAACATTGCATGTTATAGCAATATTACAGAGATTTTGCATATTGTTGCAAATTATGTGCTATATATGGATGAGGAGGATAGCGCCCAACGTTCCTTTCTTTTTTTCCTAAATAAAAACAGTTTTTTTTTCGCAGAGATGACTGATGCCGATAATCATTTGGGCTTAACGAATTCACTAATACTGCATGCACAAATACACACACGCGCGCGTATTTATTATTATTATTATACAGATACACATGTATATGCTGGCGTGCTCACATTTATTTTATCTCTGAAAAGAATCCAATCAATTTTTCTTGAACCTCAGCCATCGTGTTTTTTTAATTATCACTAGAAAGGAGATAAACCTAGTGAAAAATAATAATGAAATCGACATCGATTTCATTGTCATTTCTCACTGGGAAATGTGATAAATACGCAGTCCAAAGAGTTTTATACATTACATATTTGTACTGCATGATTGATATCATCTTTTATACTCTTACGCAACAATTACGACAGGTTTACAGTTGCGACATACGATTCGATAAATATTAATTGGATACAAACGCTTGCCTCTTTCGATGAATTTTTATGCTTCCTATATTTGCAAATTCACTGGCACTCGCAGTTTGCGTTGTTATTCATGCGAATAACGATAACTGCTTGCGAGGGCTTTGTTTGTTATCGTATGCACAAAGCGGAAATGCATGGCACCGCGTTTACCTGGCGGACACGAATTTCAAATATTTTTCAACAAGCTTAATCAATGCTCGGCTAAACACGATTATCCCCTTTTTAAAACTTTACGCATTTTCGTAAAAATCTCGAAAATAGAGGAGAAAATGGAGAAACGCCGATGCATTTCTCCATTGTCTCTTGACTTAATTTACTTATTTTCTAGATTCGAATCTATTTTCGAACCTTGAGTTTCACTTCGACGATTGTTCAAGCAGATATTTCATTCGATGTTAAATGCAATTTTGACTGTATATATATGAAATAATTTAAGTTGACGTAAATTATAAATGTTTGTCAATAACATATTGTACATTAAATTTTCACCGAGAATTCGAATCGGGTCAGAGTGAGCTCTTATAAGTGAAAATAAAATTTTAAGGTAAGATTCTTTAAAGGTTTTGGCATTTTCGCTGTAAAAGCGAACCGACTCGACCCAATTCGAATCTTCGATGGAAACTTATTGTACAATTAGTAATAGAACTTTTCTTTTTCGAATGCGCTGCACGTTGAGATCATGCAGGAAGCGAATTGAAGGTTATCGAGTCAAGCGTTAATTTTATCCGCGTGATATTACGCGTGAGATGTCTCTCCACGTAAGGATTATGTTAATACAGTTGCTTATCTGCGGCCGAGTGAATCAAGTCTTGTTAGCGCATATGCGATTAAATATCGAGTATATATCTACCTTTCCCCTGACAGAATATTTATTTTCGGTGAAGAGCAACAGTAATAGAAAAGCGATTCTTCGTGACTTCTAGAAAAGTGAAGTTCCGAGCGCGACTTTCTTGAAAAAAAAAAAAAACAAACATATAAGAGAAACATAAAGAGAAATTTGGCATTTGTTGTAAAAATAACAAAGGCAATCTGCAAGTAATTCCACATGGGATAGATTTAGTTCGCTTGACCGTCATGACCGAATGTGCACCTTTTCTCTGCATGACATCATCTATTTTTTCGTGGCGGATTAGTCACGCCGTTGATAAGTCATACTTGTACAGTCTGGCGACAACGTGTTGATGTAGTTCTGGCCAAAAAGAGAAAGTTTTTCACCGTCACGACGACTCGTGTATATTTAACATAATTGATCGTGCATACATATATTATTTATATCCAGCACGAGACACTTAAAGTAATGACATATCTCGTTTCATCACGATATTCATTCATTTACTCTATTCGTAATACAAATAGAAATCATGAATAAATTAACTAAAAGTATTTAAAAGAGAAGAAAAGAATTATTTGACGCGATTTTAACTCGTGGTAATTTAGAAAAATTTCGGAAAAGTCTATGAATATTGGATGAATACGCCTAAATATTTGACGACGTGAAACTTAATTTATTTGACGAGCTCGCTTATCTTAGAAACAGAAATCAATTCTACTTCTTTTTAAATTAATTTTTAAAAGAAGATTAATAATCAACTAAGGAGAATAAAGAACTTGGAAAAATTGAAGACAATTATAATTTAAAAGAAAGGTACGTTTATTTGTAACGGCAGATCCTCTTCATCAATTAATTAACAAGCCCTTCACAGTAGTTACAACGTTACGATCTGCTTGTTAACAGATCTTCAGACTAATCGTTCCTTCTATGTTGAAATCCCATGGCAATGATTCATGTTTCCTTCTTGTACGACTAATCGGATCGCAACGTAGGAGAGGAATGTCAGATAGAACCTTCGAGAGGGAAAGGACACGTCCTTCGTGCAATGTTGAAGTGGCATCGGCCAACTTTATTTAGAAAGCGGGAATAATCGAGCGTTTAACGTCGTCATCGTGTTTTACACGATGAGCGAATGGATAGGACGAGGAAACCGCGCGAGAGGCGGTACATCCATCACGTGCAAATCGGATCCCGTATGTGTGTGGACGCGGCGTAAGTGATTGTTGGCATGCCGGTTGCATTTACGTCGCATACTTATGTATATGCGTCGCAGCGTGCGAGAAACTTTACACCTACTTACATTCATGTTTTCGCAGCCAACTTTGGAATTGGAGAGACCGTGACGGATTCACCTCGAATCCAGGCGCACGTTAACATTAGACTGAAAGAAATAACATTGTGAAGTCTAGCAAAGCCAGCTACGTGACTAGATTTGAATAAATCAGTGAAAAATGTAAAAAAAATCCATCAGAGCCTACATCAGCTATTCGGATGCCGAAAAATTCTTTATTTTTCGTGCGAATGTAACAAAACAAATGAAGTGTTACGTTTCAACCCTTCAATTCGGGGTCCTTATCAATATAAAATATAAATCGAAGATAGATTTGAATAAACCGCACCAAGTTTTTATTACCAGAAATGATTAGTAATCGCAAAATGTCTTGGATGAAACGCACGTTTTATCTAACAACAATGTGTAAGGAAGAAAATATTTATATATAAAAATAAGAGAGATACCAGCAAAGGACACGCCTAGATCGATATCGAGAAAATCGGAAAAAGTGTATTTTAACATCCGTGCATTTGTATGTATAAGCAAACACGCGGAAACAAGTGGAGTGGAACGTGACATCGATGAGAAGTCGATAAGAAGGCGTAATTGCAAATCTGGATTCTAGATCTTGTAAAAGATCTATTTGGCTTTATCGCGTATTATCTAAGATTATGCGTGTCGCGTGTTCGCGCAAAGATAAGAGATACGATGATTATGAGATTTTATAAATGTTTTCCATCTCCGGGTTAATATCTTGGAAATTAAAACTTGCATGTTACATCTTACGTAACATACATCGACAGTATTTTTTTTGTACATATTTCGTCTTCAGGAGAAACTTAAGGTTCGTATTAACCTTTCACAGTGATTCACATGGCTCCTACAAAAAATGTAAAAGTGAAAACGAATTAATATCGGACGAGCAAAAGTGTTCTTTGTTAAAATAAAAAATTTTATGACTCCAACAATAAATCAAAAAGAAGTAGAAACCTTCGAAGAAAAGTATAACCTTCCCGGATTGTTGCATAAATAACGGATACACTAATAAGATATCCGATAACACGCGATAAGATATAATTTGCAAATTGGAATATACGTATATTTACCAACGATGTACTTGTTAACTTTGTTGGTAAATACATTCCATAGGCTCATACAGGCATTTCCTTATATTCGTACTTTGTTATTCGAAAAATAACGTTTTTAAGACGTCATAGTGATCTACACAAAAATATAAAAATGTTTATTATACATTAAAAAACATTTTGTATTTATGTTAAAATGAATTCTTGTTAAAATTTTTGTGTTGAATTTTTAACATTTCCAAGTTTTAATTAAATTACATAATATAATTGAATAAATAAGCTATTTGAATATTTTGTGTTAAATCAAAATTTAACATTCTCAGTGTTAAAATGACACAATTTATAAGTGAGTAAATAAATAAAAATAATTATTTATAAAAATAATAGTTTTAAAACATAAATTTTAAGTATAAATGAATAAAATGTGCGTATTGATTTAATTTATTATAAATGTGAATTTTACTGAAGAAATATATTCTGTACAACTAGTTACATATTTTATATGTAAAAAGATATTGTACTTTATGTTATTTTCGCTTTGTAACAGTAAATAATCTGTTAAATCGATGTATTGCTTATGTTAAATATCACAGAGGCATTGCCTAAACTAAAAATATAAAAATAGCATCTGATTCCAGTTAAAATTTAACATTATAAATATGTCAATTTAACATAAAATTTGTTTTTAAGCTGTGTCGAAGTATTACGCTTCCTGTGTTAATTTTTTACATAATATTGGTGTTATTTTCTAACGTATTTATCTTATGTTAAATTAACAGAAAAATTTGGGTGGACTGTTTGGGACATGTGAAATGTATTAAATTTAACCCAAAATTTTTTACTGTGTATTTAAAATTTGATGTAGATATCCATAATTAAATTGAAAAAAAAAGAACAGTTAAATGAAACTCATGTGAGGCGAACCTTACATACATGTTGCAGTAAAAGCACGCACGCACGCACGCACGCACGCACGCACGCACGCACGCACGCACGCACGCACGCACGCACGCACGCACGCACGCACGCCACAGAGCGAGGTTCGGCGCGGTGACTGCGCAACTCGTATGCGCAGTCCCCGTAAAAAGCCGGGGGCGCACGGCGCGCGATTCCGCCGTTGCTCTTTGGATACCGCGCACCGCGCGTGTTCGCTTCGGAGCTTCAGTTTGTATTCGGTGTTCAGTTCAGCTCGATTACCGTGACAACAGCGTGAGGACGGTACGCACAGTGACGGATACACCAGGATACTCACCGCCGCGAATCCGCGATTTCGAGCCGGGCGCGCGTCTCTCGCGAAATTCTTCCCCCTGCGCGCGAATTATCATCGATCGCTCGAATCTCTGGATCCGAGAGGACCGCCGTGCCGGCGAAGATTTCTCTCACGCCTTCGCGGCATTCGATTCGAGGGGAGAGTGGTGCGCATTTGTGCCGTTGATTGTCAAGTGATTTAAACCAGAGAAAAAGAGGAACGAACGTAAGAGACGTGAGAGAGAGAGAGAGAGAGAGAGAGACTCAACAAGGGAAAATGTTGCCGCCACGAATACTCGGCCTCCTGGTGCTTCTTCTCGCCGTGCAAGGTGAGTGTCTTCTCGATTCCGCTATTGACGCCTCCAACTTGATCTCCATCGTCCGATCGACGCTCGATCGTGAGCATAACCAGGTAACAAGGTTGACGTTAAAATTATATCAAAGCGACCACAAATAACGTCAGCTTGCCATCCGGGCTCTGTTGTTAAAATTGTTGAAAGTTTTACGAAACTTTCTGATTTTGTTTTTACTTGAGTAAATTATTTTATTAAAAAAAAACAAAAAAAAGGAGCATCTTATTTCTAATCGTTGGAATTATCATTTTATGATAACGCGCTTCTCTAAACAGAGACTTTGATATTTGAAATAAAATTTATCAGAAAGAATTCCTTCCGATAAAAATCTGTTTATCTGCTTGTTCCACCTCGCATATTCATTGTCTGAGGAAAATCGAACGTCTTATTTTCGCGCCGTTATGCTTTACTGACGGATGCTATTCTAGCTATGTAAAAAATCTAAGACAGCCTCGTATTTTATTTCCCGCTAAGATTCAAAGGTTAGAATAAATACAGGTTGCGTAATTCCTATAATGTCGATTAATTTACGTCAATGAATTTAATATCAATTAGGATTAATTCGTATATTTAATGTCCGTTCATTTAATATGAATTATAATAATTTCGCATCGACGACGAAACGAAAGAAATATAAAAGCGAGGATGGAAATAGTGCGGTGCGATGGTTATTGTATTTATATTTTTATCGTATTCTCTCGCCTGAGTAAAAATACACTGTGAGAACGCGCGTAAAATGAAACGGAGAACGAGCGTAGGAATTATACATAAATACAAAATCATTTACGGCGGAAACGTATATACCCTGCCGTCATAAATCGTGCGAATTCTCGCTTGCTGTACGTGTAACTTTACGTACCTCTCTTTAAAACCTGTAGCGCGCTAAGAGCATTCCCCATTGCGAAACTGTCCATTTATTATCGCGCCTCAAAGGCATCGCTTCTGTAACGAAGAGTCCGCCGTTAAAGGCGCACGTTGCGTTATGACGATAGAGTGGAGTGGATCGCGGTAACAGACCATCGTTACTCCAACATAGCGAGAGAGAACGTCAATACCGATCTTTGCTCGCGCCTCATTACTCGCCGGCAAAAATCCGAGATTGCGCTGCATTGTCGATCCTCCGCGAGATCTTATTCTCGAAGATCGCACTCACATTAACGTGTCACGACTCACTCGTACGACGCGAAATTATCATTTTTTTTCTTCAAAGGAGCAGGGCACGCACTATGGAACTGTTCAGAACGGATTCCGATCGGAGTCATTCCATTTTCCCTTACAAAAAAAAAATAAATAAAAAGACTTAATAGAAATATGGAGAATAATTGAACGACTCCGATCGGAATCAAGCCGAAACGATTCCACAATATTACGCGTTCCTAGAAAGATACGAGTCCAAACGTTTGCTTTTCCAATTAAAATATCTTACGCGTTATCGTACTTTCAATCTACGTTGATCTATACGTAATAGAAGTTTTATTTCGTTTTTTTTTTTTTAATTGATACGTTTAAAAAATATTTCTTTTAATAACAGTGAAATGTAGGAATGTTAGGACCGGCTCGTTTTGCGATATGTAATATATGAATGTTGTTTTATCGTTCACGGTAACTAGCGTCGAAACGTACGTCTGAACTTTTTTTTTCAGCGCCCCGAAATGTAAAATCCCGAACTGTAAGTATTCAGATACGTATCAATGTAGATTTAAAGCGAATGTGTGGAATGAAAAAGGTGCCTTAACATCTTCTGTATGAACGGCTGCTCGCAACAATAGCCGCTATTGTACTTGTAATCGGCGAGCACGTCGCGATCGCTGCCGCGGAAGAAGCAATTACGAATTAAAAAAAAAGCTTAATTACGCTTCCTGGTGTACCTACGCACCGGAAAACATCGCAGTCGCGCCGGGGCGAGTCGGTCGCGTCACTTGAATTGATCGTCAAGTCGCAGAACGGTATTGATTACGCTAGTTCTACCAAATTGCGACTAAAACAGATGAACAATTATACAGATAATTTGTATATAAAAATAGTAGATGGAGCAAACGACCAACATTTATCTTTTCTCTTTGAGCAGATTTTTTTTTTTTTTTAATTTCTCCCCTTTATTCCTGAACAATTAATGTCGTTAATCCTGAACTGAGACGAGTTCACGTAGAAAAGTAATCTTTAGTACTAAATACAGTAAACAGTTTTTTATTTAATGCATTTGCAAGTATATTTTCTTGCGAATAAAGCTCCGTCGAAAAGATCCGGGATCGGCAGCGTAATAATATATAATTTCGAGCAGCTAAGGGTTTTTTCTTCAAATATATAATATTCATTTCCGCACGATCATCGGGTGGCGTTTTTTTCATATCTCTTTTCCGGCCCTCCCCCCCCCCTCTCCATCGTGCACCGATTACGTCATTAAAAATCGACGTACTTGGGCGTTCACAACGGACGAGGGGAATCGAAGATTCTCGCGGTTGTCGTTCAAAAAGGAAGTCCGGCAAAAAAGCGCGTTCGCCGAGGAGAATTCCATTGAGACTTCTCCACGTGAGACGTTCCATCGCGAAGAAGCGTGGCTCATCGGAGAACCGGTGGCGATGGGCTGAATGGACCCGAAAATAAGATGAACGAGAGACCGATTGGTTTGGGTGGAGGTAGCGACGAAGTACGAGGGGAGGGGGTGGAGGAGGGGGAGGGGGAGGCCGGCCAGGTGAAGGCGTGTTCCAGGTAGCCCAGAGGACCCTGCAAGAAAGCAGATGGTCGAATGCCGAAGCTGTTCGGCCGATGGTCGCTCGATAGCGAGAAGTTCGACATTCACAACTTTCTGGTAAACTGCTCATCCGCTCTTCGCAGGAACGCTCCTCAGCAGCCTCCGACGTGCATCCGATGATCCGGTCGGTTTTATTTCTTTTTATAATAATAGGAGCGGCTTCCTTTCTTTCTTATCTCCCGACAGACGGACCACCGCCACGGACCGCCGACTCGTTTTATGCGTGACTGCGATCGTGAAGAGCTTGTCCGAAATGGTAGTAGACGAATTAGGGATTAGGAAATAACCGGAATACGTCTTCCTCCGTTATTAATCCTTGAACGTGCCAGCACGAAGTGGAAACAGGAAAAATAGGTCGGCTTTGACGCCCGACGGATTACTACTCGTTTTTTTCAGTTTTATTGTTATTGAAGATGTTTTTATTTCGTAATCTTTTTTTCCAAGAAAATATACGAAATGTATGCTTAATTGAATTAATTACGAATTGAATTAATGGTACAATAAGGATAAATGAATGGCGGTAACAAAATTTAATTGATATTAATTAAATCGAAAGGAACAGTAAAATTGCGATTTGTAGTTGTCTATTTATTCAATGACCCTAAAATTATAACAATTTAAAGTGTTCTTAATTGCTTATTACACAATGAGAAATAGTTGATTAATATTTAATTTAAAAGAGAATGTTATAATATCACAATATAATATTCTCGCAATTACTCCAATTAGACAAAACCGCATCTAAAGGATGTCCCAAAATTAACGCAAGATTTGAATTTGCCGCCATTTGTGCAGTAAAGTGTTGGCAACCCAAAAAAAAACAATTTAACAGCTGACAGTTTAGGGTTAGTGAAAATGAGTTCGTTGAATGGATTATTGAATCATCAACAAATGGATGCTGATTTTTCGAGCAAAATCATCCTAAGCGATGAAGCACATTTTCACCTTGATGGCTTTGTTAATCGCCAAAATTGCCCCCTAGATCGTGTGATTTAACACCATTAGATTTCTTTTTATGGGGTTATTTGAAATCACAGGTCTATGTCAACAAGCCCACAACCACCCGTGCATTAAAGGAGGAGATTCAACGCTGCATCAACGAAATTCAGCCACATTTATGCAAAATGGTCATGGAAAATTTCGACAAACGAGTGCGTATGTGCATGCAAAGCCGTGGAGGCCATTTGCCCGATGTGTTATTCCACAAATAACCCTATCCTATGTACTTTATGATTCAATAAAAAAATAACAATCAAAAGACTAAAAACTGTGTTTTCTATTTAATTCAAATCTTGCGTTAATTTTGGGACACCCTTTACTTTTATAGCCTACAATATATATAACCGTAAAGAGAACCGTGATAGAGAACACCAATAATCGGTCAAAATTAGATGTATGAATATACAATATATATTCTTCGTTTAAATTTAATTATCTCAGATGCGACTGTGTCGAAACGTCGATCTGAGATACTAATAATATAAATATGATAAGGCGCCGAAACGTAATATAAAAAATCATTCCTCCTAAATTAATTCCCCCTAAAGTAAAGAACTTATGGCGAAAAATATTATCCTGGCTGAAGTTCTTTACCGAATTAATTTAGGGGGAATTATTTTTTATGTTTCGGCGCAGTCACGTTTGAGATAATTAAATTTAAATCAAGAATATATATTGTATTCGTAACATCTGACTTTGACCGATCATTAGTGCTCTCTATTATATAAAACCGTGTTTTTATAAATCATTTGAAGGAAGTAGAGATAATTTTCTTTATGACAGCAGAATCTTTGAGAATTTTATAGACCGATTAGAAATCGATACCTTCATGACGAAAGATCTGACACAGGGCCGTATATATTATTGCAGCGCCAAGAGGATGATAAGATCTGAGTTCAATGCACGGGTGATACGGAACTGATAATAAATGAAAGCGTCGCGACGCGAGGTTTATTTTGAATTTGAATTGGTGATTCGATAACGGTGACGTAGGAGATAACTCACACTTGGCAGTGTGATCATTTCGGCGCAGTCGGTCCTGATGACGGACATTATTGACCGCGAATTATGTTCGTGGTTGCAGTCGTAGCTCTGTGAAATTTAGCCGCTCGTCCGGTTTATCATTACGTGCGACCTACATTAGTTTTGTGGGGCAAAGACCTAGGCCAAACTGGCGACACGTTCGATCGTCAGCATGATAGATGAAAAATATTCATGAAATATA